TACAATCGTTTATTTAATTGCTTCCTATTTTGTTCTCTAACATTATAATTGACATGTTTAGGAGAATTTTCTTTCAACTTGCCTTGAGTCCTGTAATGGGAGACTAGCAGGATATAAATCAAATACATAACATACTTCCCTGTTTCTCAATAGTAACAAAACAGTCACTTTCTATTTGCCATGGTGGATTGGTACAAAACACTGTGCATGCTGTTGTCATCTTAGCACCGACAACAGAGCATGAGGCACCCACACAAAGTAATTCACAAGCCAGCACTTGAACCATATGATATTCCTTCTCCACTGTTTAGTGAGATCACACCCTTGTAATCCTAAATGTGCCTTTAAATGTTTACAGTGACATTGTAAAACAGGAGAGATGTAAGTTACAGTCATGGCATGATGTAGCTATCCCTTAACTACTGGGAAAAATAATTAATTACATGTACCTAATCTGATCTGAGTGTTGGACCAGGTCTATGCAAGAAGTCTGGAAGACCAGGGTTCGAATGCCTACTCACCCATAGAAACCTTCTGGGTGACCCTGGGCAATTCATTAAGACATAATAATACATATTACATATAATACAATAATACATATAGAAAGGATGTATGTATTATTGTGAGAGCCAGCGTGGTGTAGTGGTTTGAATGTTGGACTGTGCAGACCAGGGTTTGAGTCCCAGCTTGGCCACGAAACCCACTGGGTGGCCTTGGTCAAGTCATATGTATGGCAAGGGAAGGGAAGGGAAGGATATGAGCCACTTGGGTCCCTTGCTTCCCTGTTTGTCATATTTTGTGTATATGTGTGTGTGTGTGTGTTGTGTTTAACTTCAGGTCATTTCGGACTGATGGTGGCCCAGCGTGGTGCAGTGGTTTGAGTGTTGGATTACGACTCTGGAGACCAGGGTTTGATTCCCAGCTTGGATACGAAACCCACTGGCTGACCATGGGCAAGTCACACACTCTCAGCCTCAAAGGAGGGCAAGGGCAACCCCCCTCTGAACAAATCTTGCCAAGGAAAAATCCATTATAGGGTTGCGTTAGGGTTGCCATGTCAGAAATTATTTGAAGGTGCACAACAACAAACGGTGGTTACAGTGGTATAGTAAAGTTGGATGTTTTTAAAAAGAAGAGAGAGGGCCATTTCTTGGGGTGCTTTAGAGATGGATTCCTGTACCAACAGTGGTTAGACTAAATGGCCTTTGAGGTTTCTTCCAGCTCTTATCATTTTATATTTCCAAGCCGCTGTGAAGCAGGAGTTAATAGATTTGGGGGAGTAGGTATGGACAAGGTATATAAAACATCTTGCAGGACGGGCTGCAAAGTCGTGGACTGGGAAGGGGCAGAACCATTGGGCAGTATCACTTTCCTTATAGCATCTCTTGCAGTTCAACCAATGGATGTGATACAGGCTGAGGCTGCAGAGGTAGAGAATTTAAGAATAAACAGGGAAGCAAGTATAATCCATCTAGGTTGATGGTTGGGATGTCTCTCCAGCTATGAATCCACTTGTGGATAAGATTCAGCACTTTAAAGTTTGGACTGAAATCTTGGGTTGGACACACTGGTTCCTTGATTTTGGAGCCAAGTCAGTACCTTCAGTGAAGTATGTGGTATAGTGGTAGGATGTTGGACAAGGACTCGGGAAGGACTCGGGCAAGCCAGGGTTCAAATCCTTACTTGCCCATGGAAACCCACTAGATACCTCTTGGGCAGATCACTCTCTCAACCTCCATGGAAGGGTACAGAGTTGGGATGAGTTGCCTATTATAAAAAGACTCAAAGGTGAGATCTGGTGGGATGCAGATCTCTGTCCTCTGCTGCAAGGAAAATGTGTGATGTGTGCAACCTATGAAGGGACGCTTAAGAGAAAGTGAGAATGAGGAAGAGACATGCAACAGAAAATTGCTTGCAAGGAAGGTGTTTTTAATAGTGTACTTTTGTTTTGCCTTTTAACAGATATGCTTGAAATTACTTCAAACTCTATTGTATTTAATTGCATTTTAAGATTTTGCATATTTTTATGTGGTGATCTGGGCTTCTGTAGCTCTGTTTGTAAGCCCCTTAAGTCCCAGTGCTGTGGAATAGGCAGCATATAAATGCATAAATATCCCAATTTGGAGGAGAAGGCAAGGTATCCCTTATCCAGAATTCCAAAATCCAAAATATTCTAAAATTGTCCACATAGGTGGCTGAAATAGAGATATCTTTGCTTTCTGATGGTTCAGTGTACACAAACTTTGTTTCATGCACAAAATTATTAAAAATACTGTGTATAAAATTACCTTCAGTCTCTATGTTTGAGATGTATACAAAAAACATAAATGAATTTCATGTTTAGACCTGTTTAGCTATCTATTTCCACGATATCTCATTACAGTTTGAATCTCCCTTATCTGGAATTTCAAAATCCAAAGTACTCCAAAACCCAAAACCTTTTTTTCATAGGCAGTTGAGATAGTGATACCTTTGCTTTCTGATGGTTCAGGGTACACAGGCATTGTTTCATGCACAAAATTATTTTAAAAATATTGTATTAAAAAGTATGGTCTCCGTTAAAGAGCTCATGGGCATGAATTTGCAAGACCTAAGCAGAACAGTGGGACATAATGAGTCTATGTCACCATGAGTCAGGATTGACTCAAGGGTGGTTAACAACAACATAATCTTTCAGGCTATGTGTATAAAGTGTACATGAAACAAAAATGAATTTTGTGTTCAGACTTGGGTTCGAATTCCAGGATATCTCCTTCTGTATATACAAATATTCCCAGGTCCCAAGCATTTTTGGATAAGGGAGACTCATCCTGTAATGAGGAGGAGGAGGAGGACGAGGAGACCAGTGTGATGTGGTTTGAGTGTTGGACTCTGGAGACGAGGGTTCAAATCCCAGCTGCACCATGCAAACCCACTGGATGACCCAGCCAAAAGGGGATGGTGGCAGCCAAAAGGGCACACTTGGCCCTCTCCTTTGCTGTGATAGCAGAGGTCTCCTTGTGAGAAGGCCTCTGCTGCAGTCACAAAACCAGAAGGGGCATACTTGGCCCTATCCTTTGCCAGGATGCTGAAGCCAGGATGGGCACAGCAGGAGGAGGACCTGACCTGGTGTCACCCCTCTTCTCAGGTGTCACCTGGTGCAGACTACACTCCCCGCACCCCCTTATTGATGCCACTGGAGTGACCTTTGGAGAAGTCCCACACTCTCTGTCCCAGAGGACGGCAATGGCCAATCTCCTCTGATGAAACTTGGTAGGTTCACCATAAGTCGGAGTGGACTTGAAGGCACGCAGGGACAAAAAGATGACGATCATCTAGATAAATAGGTACCCCATCCCCAGCTCCAGCTTTGATAAAGGCATGCCCTTGCTGGGGGCCACCCAGGCTTCCCATACACCCCACAAGGATTTGATAAAAACCATGACAGGGGACCCTGCACCCCTCCTCCATGCCATCCAGAGTAAGGTCCTGGAGACCAGAGGCATGTTGCAGAGATGCTCCTGCCTTCCGTGGGACAGTGGCTTCACTAGTTTGGTGTCACCTGCTGCGGTAACTCATGGTGTCACCCCCCCTTGACCTCCTCCCATTACCACATCCATACAGATACGAAAGTTCATGCTGCCAACTTCTTTCTTTCTGTTACAAGTTTATCGCACGGCACTTGCAGGAACAGGAATGGAACGACATGGAACAGGGTGAGAATGCATGTTAACACACAGGAGAACGCTGCCAATGCCGCTGAGAGTTCCCAAGCCATTCCCCAGCCGTTCCTGGCAGCCGATTTTGAAGTACGGTTCAAAGTCATTCTTCAAAATCAGGGGTAGGCAACGCCTTGGGGACTCCTGGTGGCATCGGTGGTGTTCACCTGTACGGCAACATCCATTCTCACCCATTCTGTGCTGATCCCAGACCATACCCAGATCAGTATGGAAACGCTGTGCAATAAACTTTTAAGTCTCAAAGGTGCTACAAGATCTCTCTACGTACTGATTCTACAGACTAACATGGCTATATCTTTGAATTTTGCACTAATGTTACTCATCAGTCATAATTCCAACATTTCACTGAATTTCAGGGTGACAGTTAATAATAATAATAATAATAATAATAATAATAATAATAATAATAATAATAATAATTTATTTATACCCCGCCTTTTACCATAGCAATCAAAGCAGCTTACAGCTAAAACAGATACAAACCCCAACAATGAACATAATACCCCCTGTTAAAAAATACATTAAATATAAATCTCAATTAAAACAGTTTAAAACAATAGACAATTAAAACAGTAGGCACCCTGGGGTGAGCAAAATAAAGAAAAAGAGGGTGTCTAACGAGGAGAGACCTAGTTTGGAAGTTATTACACGAACCACTCGCAATTTTTTTTTTAAAAAAAAAATACCTTACAATATCATATGCACAGCCTAAATGCATAGTATGCACAGTTTCTGGAGGGTGACAAGTGAAAATTTGGTAAAATGCGATGTTAAAAATAAAAAAATGATATTTTAAATTTAAATTAAAAAAAAACAAAACCTCTCCTCCCACTGAGCCTCATCCCTCCCACACCATCTCTTCAGCATTTTAATGGGACACAGACAAATGCAGATGTCAAAAGACAGATGTTGGGGGATCAGGGGTGTCACCCTTTCTTAAGGTGCCACCTGGTGCAGTCTGCACCCCCCTTCAGTGAGGCTATTGCCCCTGCCAGGGGG